TCTTTCAGATGTGAGAAATTGGTTTACCATTAGAGTTGAATCGCAAAGAATTTCATCACTTTTGCACTTTTTATTTAATATTAATTCAGGTATTTGTCACTTAATCTTAACATCAAGTATAAGAAATGAACTTTATTTTCAAATATTTGTGTGAATATTACTTATACACGATTTTAACTCATTTAATAATTCACTGAAAGAGAAGTCAGTAGAAAAATTTGGTTAAAATACAGTAAATTGTTTAAGTAATACAGTACACGGTATGTAATTGATATTGAAGGGCAAATAAATACATTTATAAATTGTGTGATTGAAATAATTGATAAAAAAGTGAAGATATGGACGATTTGGTACGTAAACTGCAGACCCTTGAAGTGGATGATCGCCGGAGAGAAACTGTGGACAAACCAAAACTACCGAAAGGCAAACGGACGGCCTATATCTTCTTCAGACAACAATACGGCGCTGTCCTCAATGGCAAACGAGATAAGCACGAGAAGTTGGGTCTGGGACAGTTGTCCAAATTATGTTCCCAACGCTGGAAGGTTTGTCTCTCTTTTTTTGTAATTATTTTCTTGTCATTTAGTGTATGATTTGTGTTACCCATAGGAAGTGAGCGCCAAAGAGAAGGAAAAGTATACAAAACTTGCGAACGAAGACCTCAATCGTTATCATAAAGAAACGCAAGAATACGAGAAACAAAAGAAGGCTTACGACAAATATATCGATGAGATGAGCGATTGTGGACTTCTTAAGACACTGGCAGATAAGGAACAGTTGGATGAGTTGCTGCACTTAAAGCCCGAAGAGCGTCACAAACTTACACACAAAGTGTCCGCAAAAGGGTCTTCAAAAGTGACCGCAAAAGCCGTCACCAAAAAAGTTGTTAAAAATTATGAAGAGGAAGACGAAGAGGACGAGAAGGAAGAGGACGAAGAAGAGGAAGAAGAAGAGGAGGAGGAAGAAGAAGAAGAAGAGGTGAATGGAAGCGACGAAGAGGAAGAAAAGGACACAGAGGAAGAAGAGGAGGAAAATGTGGGCCAAAAAGTGACCAAAAGTAGTAAACGATTAGATTTCGATGAATTGGTCGAAGAGGAGGAAGAAGAGAAGAGTGAGTCGAGTGGATCTGAATCGGAAAAGAGCGAGGAATCAGATGTCAAGCATTTTAACGACGATATACTCACTGAAGAGACGGATTCCGATGACAACCGAAAAGTGGTTCAAAAAGTGCCCAAAAAGAAAGTGCTGACGAAGAAGGCGCCGGAGAAAGAGGTGAACAAAAATGGTCGACAAAGAGGTGCCCGGAAGTGATAAACCGATTCAAGAGTTGTCTCAAAGTTTTTATGATATAAAAGAGGAATTAATTTGTTTGATAAAAGTTTGTATAAAAATATAAAGAGTTTTACTAATACTGTGTTTTAATAGCATAAAAAGTTTAATAAAGTTTTAATTTCAAGATTTTAACTTAAAGTAATTAATCGTGAAATGAATGGTAGGATCAGATAGTAGGCTACGAAGACATTGAGAGTGAAGTAGTGGTGAAAGTGTCTGTCGGGACAGTAGTTCCCACTCGTTGTCCACAAACAATGTATTGCACTCTTTGGACCGCAATTTGAATGACTTTTGCGACAATACTTTGATTACTAACCAAACGATGGCATCACTTGAATGATCGTCCAATTTATAAGCAACACACCGATGAATCCGTACCTTTAAATAGTGTCTACATTTAGAAGTATAATAAAAAATCACATAAAATAGTACCGAACGTACGGCTCATTCACAATCCGTTTGTTTACAAAACATGTTTTCGTGAAAAACAAATTGATTGACAAATCGTTGCATAAATCCAGTGATGAGTGCATTGAAGCCATTGCTGTCGATGTCGTTGAGTGGCATCCGAGACACGAGTGAACTGTTGCGGCCACTGGTGGCCATCCATCAGATGAGTGTCCGTTGGAAGCCGTGTTACCCGCGGATTAGAGGACCCCCTCGACCGCCACTGCCGGGCAAAAAGGTGCCGGAGCCTCACAAATACAACTGGCTTCCCATCTATCCATTGGACGGCAAGTACACGATATCGCCGCTCAAGATACGAAAGCTCGCCGGAAGGGATCCCGAGACGGGACGGGTGGTCGTCAAGACGTTGGGCGGAGGCAACAAAAAGTACTTCCGTTGGATCGACTACAAGAAGACGCCCAATGAGGACGGGTCCGTCGTAGAGGAGAAGGTGTTTAGCNAGAAGGTTCGTTGGATTATCGCATCGGAAACGATGCAAACGGGAGACATAATCCGCACGTTTTCGGCGATACCCCGCAATCCCGTGCGACCCAAAGAGGGCGACTCGCATCCGGTGGGGGCCCTCCCTATCGGCACTCGAGTGCACAACATAGAGGTGGTGGCGGGAGAGGGCGGACGGTTCGTACGATACGCCGGCGACTACGCGGAAGTGACGCGAAGAGTCGGCAAAAGAAACTATCTTCACATGAATAAAGCGAATAGAGATGTCTGTATAGACGAGAAGTGTATGGTGACAGTGGGCCGGGTGTCCAACCCATACCACCACACCCTCAATAGGATGTGTCCCCAAAAGAGCCGATGGATGGGCAAAAGGCCGCGCTCTGGCGCCTGGCATCGGAAGGACGGCTATTGTGGCCGCAAAAATCGACCGCCGAAGCCGTTGGCTGACTGGGTGTCGGAGCTGCAGACGGCCCTACCTAAGGAGCCCGAGGTGTATGTCATTCAGCCCTTTAATTAAGCGATTTGTTGTAGTTTTCGAGGCATTTAATTATCAATAAAATAGTTTTCGTTATACATTTGAATGAAACGGTTGTGAATCCATGTTATTATCTAATTTAATGAGTGTTGACTAACAGTGCCCAATGACTACCGTTTCTATGGCAGTGTCAACTGTGGCCGGAGTCATACCTCCTGTTTGACAAACACAGTGTTTACGTTCAGTAATACCTGTGCTTCAGTGACACCGATAGGACTGCAATCACAGTCCCTATTCTCACGCTTGCATCTGTCGGCTAATAGTCCCGCAAACGTGGCACTCATTCCCTCTTTCATTACAATCAGAATATTCTGTTCCCTTACGTCTGAAGCATAAGAATTATTAACCGATTTTGTGACCAAACTATTCATACAAACCGTGCGAATGGATGTCAAACCCCCGCCGAGAATTCACACCAGAATTGACTTCTAATTGAATAAACTCCCGGACCTTAAGACAAGAACTTTCGATGGGTTTTATACATATCAATGGCAACGAAGGGTGAGTGCAGATGGACAGCCGTTGCATATCACTGAATGGTATGAAAATGTGGTATTTGTTTTGATCCGTACGATTGCTCGGCACCCGTTTCATCCTGACTCCTATGTCCGTCACATGCACACCCTTGGCTACTGTCCTATTGGTGCCTAACATCACATAATCGGGAACTCCAGTCATCAGCAGTTCTGTGTCCCTCTCGCCCACCACATCGTCAACACTATGCAAATCATTGGCAAATGTGTGGCCAGTATTGCTCTGAACGGGTGTCCAGTGAACCGGAGTTTGGTTCGCTTTGCTCTCACTCTCGGTGTGAATACCGAGTGCTTCAGTCAACTCGTCGTATCTGAACTCCAGTTCCTCATCAGTCGCCTCCCGTTTCATCACCAGTGGCTCGCACTTCACCTTCGCATCCATTTCCAGTGATTTCGTGTATTTTTCTAGCATTACTCATAATAACCACTTACTATATGATAGTTTGTAAGCACATTAAATAATATTATGTAACAATCAAATTGTGCACTAATGCTATCTAAATAATTGTAACTCATATCAACTTTCTCATCGAAAACTTTAATGAAGTATTCATATTTGTAGCTTAAAAAGTATCAGGATCATTGCCATTTCAAGTAGTATTAAAAACAAATAGTGTATTGGATATAAATTGATGATTATGTATTAAACTGTCAATAAGTTACTAATTGCGACAGTATTTAAAACTTATTTGACTTATAATTGAGCTATTAATTTAAATGACTAACTTATATAAGCATTTAATTAGTGTGTTAATAACACGAATGCAATGATTTTTATATTAATGAGAAATTCGTATTGTATTTCTTACTAATGATTACATATTAGTATAATGCGAGAGATTATTAGCATTAAATCAATTAAATATGAATTTTTATAAGGTATTTTTCTAGCAATTAGTATAGTTATGAGAAAAAGTATGATATCTGTAATCAATTACGAGATTGTCGTTCAAAAAAAGTAATTAATTTCTAAAGAAAATAATTATAACTTCTCGGGAAAT